CATGATGACATTGTCGTTATTTTGATACCAACAAAATTTTTTGACATCAAATAAAAAATCAAATAAATGGAAGAATCAAGGCAAACTGAAATTCCAAGACCCTCATTTATATGGATATATTAATGACGACAAATGATACGTTGCTACCTGAGTAATTATATATAAAATAACGTTAAACATTGCTAGTTTGCGATATTGTCCGATTTTCCAGTTGCATGTAAAATTGTTCTCCGAACCACTCTCTATGCATTTCCAAATAACTGTAAACATATTGCATAATTATTAATGTACTTTTTATGAGATTGTAACATTTAATATAAAAAGTCCTTCCCACTGTTTAGTACATACCTTAAAAACATATCTAAATATTTTAAAAGCACTTTCAATTTTTTGTTGGATATATCTGTTGATTGTAATAACTCAGGTAATTTAACTGAAATTAAAAAATTCACATTTTTTTATCATTAAAAGATTTTATAATTTTGCATGTTTCCATAAAATAAAAGATAACTTACCAAATAATCTAGTTAAATGAATGGCACCGTAACAAGTGGAGGGACTTGGAATTTCGATTTGTCTTAAAGCTTGAGGCATTAACCTCCACTTATTCGACTGTTGAAGTAAACTGTTTACTTGAGCGGATGTAATAACAGGCGGCATTCTTAGCGTTACACCTCGCGGGCTAGAACAACGGGAACTTGTACTTGCTATGCTACTAAAACAAAACAATCATAAAAATATTATATCTAATTTTAAACAAAAGAAAAATTCAGAAAAAACAATAATTCTTGTTACATCATGCATTTACAATTTTGATAAAAGAAAAGAGATATACTCCCAAAGATAAGAGTTGTTAAAAATAAACTAATAACTTATATAAAATTTCGGTAACAAGAAGTTTGAAGCAATTCGATTATTACCTTGATAAATTGCCACCGTCCTGCTTTCCTTCGTCGTAAGACCTTAATTGCCGGCTTTCATCTGCAGAGCTTACACGACACGATCGTAATCTTCGCTTAGAATTGTTTAAAGGTTTACATGAATTGTCCATTTCTGAATCATGTTCTTGAAAAGGAGGTAAATGAGCATATTCCGCATCTTCAATTTCTTCTTTTGTCGATATTTCTAAATTCCTTTATAACACAGACATTTATTTTATTAATATAAACGGCAAACCTTAATAGAATTTTTAATCTAATTATTATTGATAAAAAATGCATTTACTCAATTAATTCCTCCTTTGGAATAATGGTCGTTTGTTCATTGTTTGACAAGGAAAATTTCAGAGAATCATATTGTTCCTTTTCTTGTCGGTACAAGAGAAGATGAGGTAATGTGAAATCGAAATATATGCGTAAGCCATCCGCGACTTCTCTACTTATATTTACTTCATTCACTGCTTTTTCTATCGTATTATTCGTTTTATTACGCTGGGGTTTTTCTGGAATATTCGTCAACTGCGTCGTAGTGAAATGCTGTACCCAGGATTCCAGAATATTTATTACAGTAGGTTGTGCAGGAAGTACAACAAGCTAAAATAAATATAATATTATAAATATAATATCAATAATATTTGTGTGATAAGTTAGATAATTTAAATTAAAAGATTAGTCATAATAGAAATTATGATCTGTATAAATTTAGATAAAAAAATAAGATAAAATGATTTTATATATATATATATATATATATACATACATAACCGATACGATATGATAGATTTTAGATTTTAAAATATATTTTGCATTGTGACACATTATAATCTATACATCTATTAATCTAGAAATTATTTTCTAACTTACCTTATTTTTATTAGTTATCAGGTCATAATCTTGTTCTAAAATCCGTTTTAATGTGCTGCCTATGTCAAGATCAACTCCTGGTTTGATACTAGCTCCAGACTGGCTGCCACCGCCACTGTCTTCATCATCACTTGTTTCACCCATATAATCAGAACTACTTTCTGTATCTTCTTCTGTGTTTACTTCCTGTTTAATTATATATAATTCCCATGGATTTTACTTTTGCAAGCCTCGATCATCAATGTAGTATATGATATGAAGTTTAAATCTTTTGCATAGCGCGACATCAATGATGTCACCTCATGACATGACCTAATAAATTTTCTTTTACCAATATTAGCATAGATTTTTTAATTTCTGAGTTAGTTTCTTCTTCTATTATTATAGTATAAAATTTCTTAAGTACATATCTCATTGACTTTTTTCATATTTAAAGAGGAAATTTGAAAAGGAGACATATACCTCTGTATCATAATCAGCATGTTGACCTGAACTACCATCCTCAGAAGATCCAGTCGTAGCCGATGTAGCTCGGCTACCACCGCTTCGTGCTCTACGACGAGGCTCTTGATGCTCTGTTTCAGTTAGACGTTCTGACATTTTGTGACTTCTCTTTTTACGTTCGCGGCGATATAAATAAGCACCACTACTTCATTAAAAAAAATATGTTGATTCTTAATTAATCACATTAAATTTGTTTTGTAATAGTTTTAGGAAATACATACATGTGAAGCTGTGCTTTATGTGCTAGATCTCGTTGAAGTTGACGATTCTCTTCTGTATCTTTAAGCACATATTCCTCTGTCACACAACGATCCCAAGATGAATTCCAACCCTTATATAATAATTATATTTATGTTTCTTTAAAATGCTTTAACACAATTCATACAATTAATTAATTTCAAACTTTTTTAACTCACTTGGAAATGTATAAGGTATTCCACTGCTTTTCTACCCCTTTGATCTTTATTTACAATAACATCAAGCACCTGCAAATGATTTTATAATTCACTATGAAATATTAAAATAATTATTTTTTTAATAATTATTCTACAAACTTTTATACAATAATAAGTATACTTATATCTATACAATTTATTTCTACATTTCATAAATCTCTGATGCAATTTTATAACCTTTTACATCTATTTTTGCAATATGTACTTCTTTCTTTGTAAAAGACATCAATGTTTTTCGTTAAGGCATTCAATTTGCATGTTACATTTATATTTACATATGTACAACAATACTTTTGTTAAACATGCAAATTAAATGCAAAGTATATGTATAGTATATATGTCTAGCAATATATTGGAAGTTACCTTCGAATCATACAACACTTTTGCCTTCGTGGGATCTGGTTCATAGCACAACACTTTTTCTCCGTCAGAAAATTTGAATTTTGGCCCTCGCGTTGACACCATTGTAAATTTTTAATGAAATGTAAGGCGTAGGTATTTAAAATACATAAATTACCAGTATAACCTATACAGCGACTGGCCAGAAATAAACATTTGTGTATTTGATAGTAATATGATATGATTTTTTGACGTTATTTTAATCTTCACAAACTGTTCCGTTCGCAAGCCTAATTAGTTTGTTTAATTCACTATCACTTCTAAACCGTCTTCCCGGCTCGATTAGCGTTGTATATCTTTTCTTTTCCGTCTGAAGTTAGCCGTTTCAGACTTCAAGAACGCCATAAGTAATTGTCATAAGCTCGTGTCACACCTACGCATTCGAGGAATACGAACTGAGAATTTAGAATTCAACCAATCAGTTAACCGTAATCTTCATCCGTTTTGCTTTGATTAAAAAAATGTATTATATGTATTTTTTTAACAAAATGAATAAAGTATGAAAAAATTATACATTTTTCTATATATTAATATAAAATAATAAAAAATTATTTCAATAAAAAGTAGATATGTTTAAAAAAAAATAAGATAAAAAAATTTTAATTTAAACTGTAATATATTGTATGTGTAAACTTTAAAATGTAATATATTGTATTAAATATTGAACTGTTCACATATATCACAGTCTAAGTGTTAATTCAGTAAATATATACATTTGCTATAATCAACGACATGCTATCTGGGTACATTTAGTCTACATATAAATCGATTAGTAATATACATTTATTACATGTAAATGTATACATTAACTTAATATGAGTAATATATATTTATTAAAATTAACACTTTGACTTTTCGGAAATAGAGAAAAAAAAAGAAAAAAATTAGAAATATAAAATTTTAATTCTTCTATTCTGAAGTGCTATTCTTGTAATTTAAATTCTACATTTTTTACTATTTACATTACGAGTACATATGGCATTTTTCATTTGTTTTCTCATTCGATCGCACGTTTTCACTTGCGTAAGAAAAAAAAAAGAACAAAAATGCTCTTTTACAAAGATCAAGAAATTCGAATGTATAACCATCTAATATAAATATTAATAAAATAAAATAATTTACAATAGCGGAATGGTAAAGCAGTGAAAATATAATAAAACATTCATGTTTTATTATAACAGCATTAATCTTTCAGGATTTTATTTTTTATCGCTACATAAATATATCATCATATATTAAAACTTAAATTATCTTTTAACTCTAAAATTGTATGTAATTTGTAACATATTTGTTTAAATAATTTCCATCTATACATTTATATATATATATATATTCTTTCTTTTATATTTTCTATTAAATAAATATACATATAGTATATATATATATTTGATCCATTCATCTGTCATTATATTTCTCTGATTAACACTAATGCCTCATAAGTTTTCGCTATAGAAACGTTTCATAAACGTTTAAAAATAAAAAGGAATCTACAAACACAATGTTTTTAATTAGATACGTTATATCCAGATAGCCAAGGATTGCAAGCAGAGACAGATTTTGAACAGAGAACGTTATCAATTTCTGTTGACAAAAGACAACAATTTCACATAGACTTCACAAAAAGTTTGTAATATCTGATATCTGCACCACCAGAAATAGAACAAAGCTTACTGACATGTTTTGTCATCACTCCTCTGCTAGAGCATGTCAGCAAATTCTGTTAACTGATCCTAAGCTTGCAAAGTGCTATTTGTTGCCAATGTGCCACCAAATTGCTAGCATCTTGCCATCTGAGATATGTTTTCTTCGTAAAATATGCTCGAAATCTTAATTGAAATAGCTTTGGTGTAGCGAACGAATAGAAGAATTGAGCATATTTTAGCAATACGTAATGCATATTGTTCATATTACACATAATTTATGTTAATCTAATCACAGAAAGTTTTGATTGTGCCACATCAATTCAATATACGTAATTTACGTAAGAATATCTATACTTATCAAACATGATTGGCACAATTACAGACAGTGTCAGAACTAATTGGGAACACAATAAAATAATTTTCAATTAACATATATAAAAAAAAATTCATTCTTAATATTACTTCTCAATTAGCGTCAGTAGTAGATGTTTCCACATAATGTATGGCAAGGCAAATTAGATATTAATTAATTTTGGTAGCCTGACCATATTTTTCATCAATTATATAATATACCACAGAATTGTATCACTATACTAATACGAACATGATAGACACAATTCCATTTCTATTTATTAATTCTCTTTCCCGCCTTTTCAACTAGTAGAAATGATAATTAATAAATAGAGATCGATTTTGTCTAAATAATTTTATATAATCTTTCTTTTTCGCTATGTGCTATATATGTATATATATATATATAAATAAATATCGCAATGTTTTGAAGTTTAGCATTATGGATATAAGTACTACAATCACGGTTGCAATAGCTAAATAATTTTATTATTACACGATTCACGAATAACAAGCGGTTTCTTACAAATGTATAACAGTAAATTTTTGTAAATTGGCAAGATTTTGCACACAATTTTTTTGTACGAAATATGCGGGTACTTGTATATACATTTATATGGTAGGAAAATTTTGAGATCTTTATTTAAATGCGATATCCAACACTGATGGACTCATATCGGGATACATATCGAATCACTTGTATAGCTCAAATTATTTCTCGTACAAAAAAAAATTCTTGAAAGTTACGAACAAAAATTTTCAAGAAACGGACCGTTTATCATTATTCAACATTTTCCGCTTGAAGTTTTTAGGTACTCGCATATATCTTAGTAATAATAAAAACAATGATAATCGTATAAAATATAAATATAAATAACTTGATTACAATATAATCTAGAGATAATGACTAATCTTTTATTTTACTATCGCTAAACGAATATGATATATCCGATATAAAAAGAAGAAAGCATAATGCTAAACTTCTAAGTAGAACCGTTTCACCCAACAACATTAACGACACTATGTATACGTAACATATGATTATGTTAATAGTGTATTTTTCCTTATACATAGCAATTATAAACATAATAAAATCATTTAATAAAAAGAATGCCTTTCATTGAAACAAAGATTACTTATAGAATTAACATTTTTACAACAATTTTACATAAAAGAACAAATGCATATTTACAAACGAGATTCGTTTCTATTGTAGAGGATTTTAAATGCAATTATAACGTGATTACAAATAGAAACTATTGAGATCTGCGTATTATAAGTAAAAATATCTCGTTTAAATAGAATATATTACATAAAAAATATCATTTGGTCTCTCTTGGTCTATATTGTGTAATCGAAAACAATAAACAGGCGTTTTTAAAAAATGGAGGAAATTTTGCAATAAATGCTGCTATGTATAACACAGGATCTTCATGATACAACTTTCTTTGGTTAATCCTTTTTAGATTAGACAAAATATCTTATATTTTTAGCAATGCTGTAGTTTAATATAAACTACCACATTTGACAGAAATTTGACTATCTAATGTGGAATGCACGAAAATAGTTAAAATTATGATAGATCTATCCAACTGATTACTCTTAGGCCAGAGTTAATCATAGTGTATAACATATTACAATTTTATTTCAATATTCATAACGTGCATTATAGTATATATTTGTATATATAAATAAATGAATTCTTAATAATATGAAATAAAGGACTAAATATGTTAAAGAAGACTCTTTTTCAAATATCAAAATTCATCATCTTTATTTTTAATAAAAAATAAAATAAAATACAAAATAAAATGAGAAAAAATCTATATATCTCTGGCCATGTTAATTTTCAATTAGACAGTCTTATCACAGTTATGATATGACCCCTTATATGCCTAAAAATTACAAAATAATTCATCGTCACAGTTTAACAAAATAATTATAATTATATATTTGATACTAATTGCATTGTCATCTGTGTATAACATCATATAAAATATTAGAAAAGATGTTCAAAGGAATCCTTTCCTAATATTTTTTTAAATCGGTAAAATCAATCCCTGCAGCGGTTTTGCCATTAAATACATTTTTAACTTAAAAAATATTAATTTTATTTAAAAACTTAATTTAGCATACCCCTATTTTCCAATGAATCTCTTAGTGTTTGGAAAAGTTGCAATTGTTGCTCTGGCTTCAGGCTATAAACCTAAATTGAAAGATACATGGTTTTAGAAAAAAGAATTATGCTTACTTATTTCTTGTCGTATTATAATTTATAATACGAAGAAAAAATTAATATTGCTGAAACTTATACTATAAAACTTATACTAAATAAACAACTTTATTTATTTAGTTTACCTGCTGTAACAGTTTTTGAGGCGATGCAGTATGGATAAATGAAGAAATATAAACATTCACGAATGTTGCCATTAAATACTGACAATCAAATCTATCCATTATTCCACCATGACCAGGAATTATATCACCGAAGTCCTGCAAAGTATAAGAAGAAAATGATAATTGTATCAAAAATTTGTTAATACTAATTTACGAGTCAATTAACATAATGCTCAATTACCTTAATCTTAAACGCTCGTTTGAATCCGCTAGCAAAAAATCCTCCAAATGGACCAATTACTGAACTGAATATTGATAGCGAGAGCGAATGTAAAATAAATGGATATATCGTCAAGGTAGATTTTCCATTTAACTGCACATATTGAAAAATCACTAAGCATTCATTGTATGATTAAAACATTCCGTATATAAGGATTTATTATTATTACCATTCTTGATATCACTTGAAGACTGCTTGGCAATGTATATTCTTGTGGTTGGAATAAACTCGATGGTTCGCAATCCATAGTCATTCTTCCTAAAGCTTCGCTGTACTCAATAGGGCAGACGAAATAGCGATACTGACACATGATGTAGGACATCTAAACAACAATATTAGCACATAATTATAACATGATTTTAATTAATTATGACATTATGATGATAATTATTTTCAATTTTTTAATTACCAATAATCCAAGTATAACAGTCGAAATACCACCACCAATAAAACCTTCCCAAGTCTTCTTCGGGGATAATTTTATTAATGGTGTTCGTCCAAAAAAGAAACCAAACATATATGCCATTACATCGTTTATGACAATCATACTGACAGGTACGATGAACCTGAAAACAATGGACATAAATAATAGAATAAATAGATATTTAACTTATATAGCATAATAATAATTTTGATAGATAATATATTTATATTGAGTTGACAAGAAAGTAATTAGGTTTTTTTAAAAGGCATCTATCAGTAAAAACCGCAATTATTTTCTTACCAACCTATATAAATATATCTTAATAGAGCAAAGTTACAGCTTTAAGAATCTCTTGTTTAAATTGCGATGCGACAATTTTTAATGGAGTTATGAGCAATTAAAGTCAAAATGATCTTTTTATTTAATCCGCGATAACTCAGTAATCGTAGAAATATTTTTAAAAAACGATTTTGTAGGGAAAGCATTAAGCTAGGTAGTCGAAAATTTTCTCAGATTTGTTTTGAGTACGTTACAAATCCACAAAACATTACAAACCACGAAGAAAATTTTTTCCTTCTTTTTCAGCTCGTAGTTTTTAGTGTAAAAATTATCAAACTCAAATATAAACTTAAAAAATGTGGTAAGCTTTTAAAAGTAGAGATTTCAAGTTTTAAAATCCTTTTTTTAAATTTAAATTTCATTCATTATTGACAAAGATATTATATATACAACTTTGAGCTAAAAAAACGCAATTATTTCCTTACTAATCCAATACGTACCATATCAATCCTTCGAATATATTCTGGATGATAAGATAACTCTGTGTCACAACAATAAGTAACGCGACGTGCGTCCAAGCAAATAGGGAGAACTGCTTCATATAATATTTTTTCACGAGTGAGAGTACAAACCATACGAAGCCAACAATGTAAAGACAGAATGAGATAAATCGATGGTATGTAACGAGCACACGTAGATATCCCTAAGGACAATAAAAGTTGTAGTTATTACTTACATTACACACGTTACCTGTGTATAATGTTCACATTAATTTAACATATTCTTAATATTGTTCTTATTATTTTCTCCATTCTCTATTGTATCTACATAAAATATCTTTAATAAAGAAGCCTCACACAGAATGATGAAGCCATAACAAAAGTATTGAGATAAGGCTTGTCGAGGCTTTGTTATTGATTTAAACTAATGCTATTGATGATATATAGATGCATTTTAGAAATGGTCTTTTCTCTTTCTGAAAACATCACAATTAAGTAGAATAATAACAACAAAATTTTATATCACCATATAATTTTTAGAAATTACACACTTTTACAAATTTTTTGTGAGAATCAATATTTAAAAAAAATAAATTTCATGATTCTATGCGATTCGAATTGGAAAAGTAATACTTACTGTTCGATTAATTACCACCGCAAAGTAGTCCATTAAATTTTCTCCATAGAAAAAGTAATTCGAGGTTATCAAAAAATACCATGACAAAGATCTGAACCATGGTAGACCATGGATCCTATATACAGCATATCCAATATTAATGATTTCTTCAAAGCATTTCACTTGTACAATCAACGTCTATAAAAAGAAATAAAAATATATTAATTTTTTACACATATATATATA